TTCCTTCCTTCCTTCCTTCCTTCCTTCCTTCCTTCCTTCCTTCCTTCCTTCCTTCTTTCTTTGTCTCTCTCTGTCTCTTTCTTTCTTTCTTTTTTTTTGACAAGGTTTCTTTGTGTAACAGTCATCAGGAACAGTCCTGGAACTCCTTTGTAGACCAGGCTGACCTCGAACTCACAGAGACCCACCTGCCTCTGCCTCCCGAATGCTGGGATTAAAGGCGTGTGCCACCATTGCCTGGTATTACAGTTTTAAGCCTCATGTGATGGAGCAGGACTCTTACCCCAGCACTTGGGAGGTGGAGGCAGGAGGATCAGGAGTTCACAGTCATCCTTGGTTACATAGTGAATCTGAGGCCTGCCTGGGCTACATGAGACTATCTCACAGCAAGGGGGAGCTGGACAGATGGCTTAGCATTTAAAAGTTCTTACTGCTCTTTTAGAGGACCCTGGTTTGATTCTCAGCATCCCCACCGCAGCTCACAATCATCTGTAACTCTAGTTCTTCTGCTCTCCGTAAGCTGTCCATCTCTATGGAGCTGGACATGGCCCCGTGGCCTTTAACAGGGTGAGCAAGCCTTCAACACTGGTCCACAATGCATTCACTACTCCAGCAATGCTGCCCAAACGCTAACCCCTCACTTGGCTGCCAATGGCCATCAATGGAGCATACGCCAGACCCCCTGCAAAAGAGGCTATAAGGTGGGACCCGGGAATGCCATCTCTGAGAAGCCCTTCAAGGATGCTGACAAACACAGACACAACTCCCTGCAACAGCAAGGCTGTGACAGTCCTGTGGCACAGACCCTTGTCAGAGTGGCAAGGTGCAGAGGCAGTAGAGAGCTGACTATACGGGACCAGCCTCTGTACTGGCCTCAGTGTGGTGTCGGGACCTTCCACTCTCTCCTACTTACTTGGTTAGGACAATGGAGACTGCATCGTTGAGAATGCTTTCTCCAAACACCAGCATGTTGAGCACAGGGTCCACGTGCAGTGCATTGAAAATTGCGATAGTGGCTACTGGGTCAACCGCAGAAATCAGGGAGCCAAATGCAAAACTGCAAGGAGAGAAGCAAGGGCAGATTCTGTAACGCGTGGTGCTGGATCCACACAGATGCACTGTGGCTGTGAGGCCGAGATGGCAGCTGAAGGGCCAAGAGAGAGGGCATGCTTTCCCACTGAGCCCTGCCTAGCACAGGAGCGCAGAGGCCTAGATGCAGTGCTCAGAGTGCCTGCATCCTAGGAGCAGGGCTGCACTCTGTGCTGGCCAACGCTGCCCAGAAGACTGCTTACCTTAGCACACACTGCCCAGCTTTCTCAGCCAGAAAATCCTATAAACTCTTGTCTTTGACCTCTGCTCTGCCAGCAGGTCAATTGTGTTCACTGTGACCAACACCAGCCTCCACTCAGATTTGTAGCATCCAAGAAGGTGCCAAAGGCCAGCAGCCACCAGAATATCCAAGCCTGGGCTGCTGACTGGAAGCCGGGCCCTCAGGTCTCACAGGCAGCACTGGATCATAAGGTCCCCCGCCACCAAAACTGGTCACCTGCCTACCAGGTTTTCAACCCCTGCGGCTCACCAGTGAGCATCTCCCTACTACATGGGCTCTGGCCCCAAGCCCTTCACCACTGTCTAGCTCAGAGCTCGTGCCCCTGGCCTGGAGGGCAGGTATAGCAGTAAGCAGGGCCCAGGTCAACTTAGGAGGCGCAATGGGAGCTGGGCTGGAGTGCATGCTAAGCATGCTGGAAGCCCTCAGTTTGATCCCAAGCATCACAAATCAGGTGTAGGGGTACACACCTGTAACCTCAGCACTTGGGAGGTGTAGGTGAAGGGATGAGGAGTTCAAGGTCACCTTCAGCTACACATCAAGTTCTAGGCCAGTCTGAGCTCTGAGACTGTCTCAGGAAACCAAAGACATAAGAAAATGTCAGGTGCAGTAGGAAGGAAACCCAGTGCGTAGAACTGAGACCACAGGAGGTGGCGTGATTGGAGTCATCTGACTGGTGACACCGAGGAGCCCTTCAGAAATACTATTGGGAGAAAGCCTATGAAGCAGGCCAGTCACTCCCCCAGTTATCAGTCTATTAGGTGGCAGTTCCCGGAGTGACAGATCCAAGAGTCTGAGGCGTCCAGGAGAGAACCAGACCTGTTCCCAGACTCTGCCTTCCTCAAAGTGAGCACATGCATGCAAGCCGTCTGTTCCCCCTCTCTGAGGTCCCAGGGTGGATGCAGTTTTCACTTGACCATGTTCTCAGGGTCTGTGCTGAGCACAAGCCAGAGCCTCAGACAGAAGGTAGGAAGAGGAATGAAGGAAGGCGGCCCCACCCAGCAGCCAGGGGGCCAAGGCCCTGAGGCCCTGCAGCACTGCCAGCAGAACCAGACTCAGACTCTCCAGCTCCTCTTCACCCTCATCACCCACAGTAGCATCAAGGAAGATGAACAGCTCAACTGTGCTCTGCATGGAGGGCATCAGACACAGTCTCTGGCCTCACTGCCCACACCCACAGCCTCTGGGAGCTGTCCCCGACTTTCTATCCTTATGTGCCAAGGGGCTCCAGGAGTGGGCACAGTGCACAAGGTTGGACCAGCTTTACCAGGTTACTGGGATCGGACTGACCCTTGGTGAGGAGCGCCTGGAGCGGTCTATGCTCCATGTGAGGTAGACAAGGGAAGTGGACACCAGCGAGGGGAGAGTGTCCTGGAGGGTGCTGAGCTAGGCCATCATGCTTGAGACACTTTGGCCCTGTGAGCCAACAACTCTCTTTGTTGTGAACTCTGTTCGGACTGAGTCTCAGGTGCACAGGGAGAAGCCTGACCAGGACACTGTTACAGCCACTGCAGCCTCTTAACTAGAGGTCTGGGATCGGGGCCACGGGCACGCCTGGGGAGGGGTGGACAGAGGGAAAGCAGCAGAGATGCTGGAGCTGCGGGTGGAGAGGAGCTCAGGCGCTCACTACACAGGGTCGGGGTGCTTAGTCACGCTCTTCAGAAGACAAACTGAGGACATGCCCTGTGGGGAAAGCCAGCACATCACACTGGTGCCTGCCGAGAAACCAGTTGACGGGGGTCCTTCTGGCCACGAGCCCTGAGGCCTCAAGAGGCCTGGGCCTGGTTCCACATCCACTGCCAGGACCCAGTCCTTGAAGGACTTCAAGCAACTGGCTCAAGCTAAAACCATGTTTCTTTATTCTTTCCCTCAAAGTTAATGACACCAACAAAACGTGCAAAGACAGACAGGGTGGGACTGAGGGAGGAGCAGGGACAAGTGGTGAGGCGCTACGGCCTACTCAGGGCAAACCCTCACCAGCAGAACTAGCTGAGGCCAGGCCCAGGTCACCAGTCAGGGCTGTGTCCTCTGAAGAGCAGAAGAGAGACAGGCAGCCTGCGGGTCTGTGAGGAAAGTGATGCTGTCAACACTCAAAAACTGGAGCAATGGGCTGGGCGTGGCACACCATTAATGCTAGACAGAAGCAGAGACAGAGGCAGGAGGCCCTCTTCCATAAGTTCCAGTTCAAGGCCAGCCTGCAGTATAAAGTGATTTCCAGGTCAGCCAGGGCTCCAGAGAGAGACCCTATCTCAAAGAGCAAACAACAAAATTGAAGCAAGGTATGGTGGTACACATTTATAACCCCAGCACTTGAAAGGTGGAAGCAGGAGGATCAGAAATTCAAAGTCATCCTTAGCTACACATCAGGTTCAAGGCGAGCCTGGGCTACATGACATACTGTATCAACAACAACCAAAACCACATTAAAAACAAAACAAAACAAAAAAAAAACACACAACTGAAACAAAATTGAAAAACTCTCAGTAAACATCTATAACTTGGCCTTTTACAATCCATGCTCTGGGGGCTGGAGAGATGGCTCAGAGGCTAAGAGCACTGACTGCTCTTCCAGAGGTCCTGAGTTCAATTCCCAGCAACGACATGATGGCTCACAACCATCTGTAATGAGATCTGGTGCCCTCTTCTGGCCTGCTGTCATACATGCTGTATACATAATAAACAAATGAATCTTAAAAAAAAATCCACACTCTGTGTGTATGTGCGGTGTGGGGTGGGGAGAGGGAGAGGAAGGAAGAGAGGGAGACTGACTTCTCAGCCTTTTGGCTAAGAAGTGAAGATCTATCCATCCATCCATCCATCCATCCATCCATCCATCCATCCATCATTTATTTATTGGTCTAGTTATTCCCCTTCCCTTCCCACAACATAGCATTTCTCTGTGTAGCTCTGGCTGTCCTGGAACTCTCTCTGACCAGGCTGGCCTCGAACTCAGAGAGATCCACCTCACCTGCCTCTGCCTCTGGAGTGCTGGGATTAAAGGCGTGTGCCACCATGTCCAGCCAGAGGTTTTTTTAAAGCAGAGCAGCAGCATATACATGTAGCATCTGCCAAGCACATGAGGTCCTGGGCTCCACCTCCAGCATAAGAAAACCTTTTTAAACATCCAGTAACTGCAGCCCATGTGTCCACATGGCAGTCAGGAGGAGCTGAGCAATGCTGTCCCTTGCAGATAGCAATGCTCGCCTGTGGCCACCATTACCGGGTAGCTTCCCTCTGCTAAGGCTCTGCTGTCTGTAACAACAGTCCCCATCCAATGGACAGAGCCTCCAACAGAAGAGTGCATGTGCACAGTGAGGCTGGATGGAGTTCCACCCACTCAGCCATGGGTGTTGCTTTTGCCTCTGCACCCAGATGTCCAACTCCTGGCTTGAACTCCATTCCAGACAATGATCAACACCGCGCTTCTTCACAAGTATTTCCCAGAGCAGGCAGAACCCCGCACCTTCCTTCATGTCAAGAGTGCTCCAAGCATTGCCTTTCCCTTGCGGCACACCCAGACAACACCAGGTCCTGGTTCTCTTGTACTTCAGGCTCCTGTAGGAAGGAAGGTGACTCGGGCTGCTTGTCTATATATCAGACTTTCTGGGCTGCTCACACATCTGTGATCCCAACACTTGGAAGGCTGAGGCATGAGGATTGCCTCAAGTTTGGGGGCCAGCCTGGGTTATATATTGAGTTCCAGAGCAACCTGGGCTACAGAATAAGACCTTGTCACAAATAAGGAATACAAAAACAAAATAACAAAAAAACAACAAAAAGCTCTAATATTCCTGCCTGGGGAGGGTGAAGGATGGGCACTGTGGATCAAGCCTATTATCAGTGGCCCATTTCCATGAACAGGTTCTAAGGCTCTGGTCCGACATTGTCAGTTCACAGGAATGATCTAGAACTGAGGACTTGGCCCTCTTCTTCAGCTTCCACCCGGCCACAAGACAGGTGCTGAGAGTGGGCACAGGGACCCAGAGCAAGCCACAATACAGACTTCTTGGCTGCACTAGGCGAGGGCCCTTTTGGGACTCTAGATCTGGTGCCTTCTGAAATAGCCGCCCAAGGTCCTGCTCCGAGTGGACCAATAAGATTCCAAGAGCTTCCCGAGCAGGTCACTGCAGTGTCTACTGGAATGACTTCGCATTGAGAAGATGTCCATCCCAGGGCTGGTCCTGCCTGCTTCCCCCGTCTTGGTGGGAATTCTAGGGTCAGAGTTCTCACCTCATTCTCCCCCATTCCACACTAATGGGAAGGCAACCTCCTTCCACAATGGCTATAAAGAAAACTGAGGTTTTGGTTTGTTTGCTTTTACAGTGTTGATGATTGAACCCAGGGCCTCATAAATGACAGGCGAGGGCTCCGCCACTATGTTATACATACATCCCCAGCTCCAAAGATAATTCCTAACAAAAGGACAGAGAGTATACTTTGTGACTAGGATACAGGCGGGTAGTTAAATGGTCAGTCATTCCCTCCAAAGCTTAAATGAGATCAATCATTTCAATCAGCAATGTTGTGACCAGGGGTCTTCAAAAGTCTCAATATAATTCTGATTCAATTCAGAGACAATTAATTCAGAATAGATTCTATACTGGAAATACCAGCAAGCCAGGCAGAGGGAGAGGAAAGGACCACACCCAGGAAGCCACGTGCAGAAAATGTCCCAGGTCTGGACAGCAGTCACATGAGAAAATTACAGTGTGAAAGATTTACCTGTCTGTCATGTTGAGTTTAGAGATTACATCAGCCTGTAAAATAAAACATACAAACACACAGACAAACACAAAAAAAATTCCCTGGAGAACAGCCAAGAAGATTAAAATGTCCATCAGTGCTTTCTTAGCAACTAATAAGGACATCATCTTCAGTCCCCATGGAAATAAGGAAAATCCCCAAGGGCTGCTGTGAGCATGCATGGGCATTTAGACCCGAGTGAGGGCACAATTCTCTTTCTTCCAGCCTGGCAGCTGTGGTCCTCTGCTCTAAAGGTGGAAAACAGTGAAGGCGAGCATCTAGGAAAGCTACAGGGCAGACTTGATCTTGGCTGTGAGACAGCCATGAAGGTAACAACATCAGCAGGAATAGGCTGTGGCTACCCAGAGAAACAGCAGCCACATGAACAGAAATCCACACCCTCAGCCTGGTGTGTTCCCAGCACTGGGCTCAGCCTGGTGTGTTCCCAGCACTGGGCTGCTGAGCTTTCTGCAAATGACACAAGAACGGAGGTGCACAGCATGCACCAGGGAGGTCTAAGCGCTATCTTCCGAGGCTTTCATTCTAGTTGAAGTAAGCTGTTATGAAACCCAAAGCCCAGAGCATGGGTCTCATCAAAGGGCTGACAATGGTAGGGAGCATCATGGGAACTGAGAGAAGAGAGTCATAGGCAGCTCTGGTTTAAACGTAAATCTTCATCCAAGAACAACCTTCCCTGGACTGCAGCTCCCTGAGAACACAGCTAACACTGCTCCAAGCTGCAGTATCGCACACCACTCTGCTTCAAGGCATTCCAACTGAAGAGACCAGCTTGCAAGTAAAATCAAGCATCAGGGGTGATTACAGTCCCCTCAGTTCTAGATACCCTAGTCACATGCATGAGCGGGGACGTCCTCCTGGGAGGGCACACACTACCAGGCAGCTCCTGCCCCACCCTGTACTACCCTGCAATAGAACATCTTCAAGGTCATCAGGGGTGCTTTGCTTACCTGACCCAGAAAGTAAATTCCTCCACCTACTACAAAAGCAGAGATCGCTGTTCCAAAGACAGCAAAGAGAGTGATGGAGCCGATGTTCTGAAAGAAGTTCCCCTGGGGGGGGGGCAGAGGGACAAGAGGTCAACGGTGAGCCAGGGAAGCCCAAATAGCCTCCCCGACTGTGCCTTCTCCAAGGCTGGACCCTCACACAAAGGCCAGGACACCCTGTCTGCCCCGCACTGCTAGCTGGAATCCCTGCCACCATCTCCCTGCTTTCCTGACTCACAGGTCCCTCACCCTGACCAAGGCAAGCACTAACCAGTCTCACCTGTCCCAGTCCCTTTCCCTCGACGGTCTACTGCTTCCAGAGTGACCTCTGCCAAGGCCCGGCCTGATGGTGCTGCCTCTGCCTTGATTCCCACTTGCACTTGAGATGCAGGTGAGCCCCCCCTGGGAAGGCCTGTGTCTTCATATGCCAGCATGCTGCCTTGTTGCCTGGGCCCTCGTCACAGGGGTGTGCCCTGATCCTGTTTTGTGTGCCTTCTGCTAAGCCTCCTGCAGAGCTGTCTTCCTTGGTCCTGTCCCCCAGTGAGCTCTTTCAATGGCAGCTGCGTTCTAGCACTCACTTATGTAACAGCGGACTGACACCTGCCTTTCTCACAGGGCTGAAGGCTCAGTAGGAGCAATGGCATTGGTCATATGGACGATGCTCAATACACAGGCGTGGAAAGAATCAACCCTGGTCCACGTTTGGTCTCAGTCTAAAATCCACACTATCACACTTTTCTACTCTTAAATGCACTTAAAAGGTGCATTTGAAAAGACACCTAAGCTGGGCGCTGGTGGCGCACGCCTTTAATCCCAGCACTCGGGAGGCAGAGTCAGGCGGATCTCTGTGAGTTCGATGCCAGCCTGGTCTACAAAGCGAGTTCCAGGAAAGGCGCAAAGCTACACAGAGAAACCCTGTCTCAAAAAAAGAAAAAAAGAAAAAAAGAAAAAGAAAAGGCACCTAAGCTCAAAGATCAGAACAATGGTCAGTGTTAAGTCCCAAAGAAACTTGGGACAAATGGCTGAGTGCCTATTACCACATCAAAGCGGAAGCTGGATGCCAGGCTCTTCAGCATCACAAATACCTGTTACAGAGTCCAGGCTCCTCTCAGAACTTCTCACCGAGTCCCCTACACTAAACCTCTCCAGCCCCTGAGCATCTTTTCTATAGAACTCAGCCATTTTGGCCACAGGTTCTCTTGGCTCTGCTTTTGGATCTCTCTTGGTCGGCTCCCCCCACCCCCCAACACCTTCTCTCCTCTCATGACCCTGTCTATTCTGCTAGCCATGTTCAGTCTGGATCTTTCTAGATGCCCCTGGCTGTTCTCTCCCTCCTATTTACACTAAAAACCTCAGCCATACCTAGGAGTGGCCACTCTTGGTTTCAGTCAGTCAGGAAGTCCTGGTATTATGGTGGTATTAGCATCATCAACTAGACAAGCAGAGATCTCACTGCGGCGGGGCGGGGCTAAATTGGTAGCGTGCTTGCCTGGCATGCATGATACCTCGGGTTTAACTCCAGCACCGGATACAACAGGTGCTGGGACATCTGCTGTAACCCTAGCACCTGGGAGGTGTAAGCAGGAGAATCAGAAGTTCAAGGTCATTCTCAGGCACATAGAAAGTTCCAGGCCAGCCTGGGCTATGTGAGACCCTATCTCTTTTTTTGTTTGTTTGTTTGTTTGTTTGGTTTTTTGAGACAGGGTTTCTCTGTGTAGCTTTGCGCCTTTCCTGGAACTCACTCCGTAGCCCAGGCTGGCCTCATACTCACAGAGATCCGCCTGGCTCTGCCTCCCGAGTGCTGGGATTAAAGGCGAGCGCCACCGCCCGGCGAGACCCTATCTCAAAAGAACCCAAACCATAAAAGAGAAAAATTTGAGTTCCAGCAGAATGTAAAGTTCCCACATTTCCACATGATGAAGGAAAGGAAGCTACCAGAACCTCACACTCCACTCAGGAGGCACCACCAAGGGTCTCAGTGACCAAGAGTTCTGTTCCTTGTTTCTAGGGTCAAGGTTTACTTCAAGAGTATCCCCTGGGGTAGGGTTGGGGGGGAAATGGCCTAACAGTTAAGGCATTTCTATGGCTAGGTGTGGTGGCACACACCTTTAATCCTAGCACCCAGGAAGCAGAGACACAGTGAAGTCCAGGCCAACCAGAGCCACACAATGAGATCTTATCTCAGAAAAAAAAAATGCCCGCCCAGAAGTTCGGGAAACCTGTGCAGGATCAGGAAGGAGGGGCGACTGCTGTTGAAGGTCGCAAACTCTGTGAGCCCGGCCTACAGAACAGGAGTGGCCATCCCCACCTAAGCACTGCCCCGGTGAACCTCACCTTGTGCAGCGAATAGCCGGACTCAAAGATGATAGGCGGCAGCAAGAGAAGGAAAAACATGTTGGGGCGGAACATTTCTTCCTCCTGTGAAAGCGAACACGTACACCCATGAGACCTCTCTATCAGTCAGTGGAGAGCTGAGCAATCCTGTGCTCAGGGCCCAGCCTGGCAGAAACGTACGATGCTGAAGCAGTGTCTGGTGACACACCAGGCAGAGAGATACATCCCGACTGCATCTGACAGAAAGCACAGGGCCAGTCTGACTTCCAGAACCCTGTCACAGGGAAGGGCGGCTGACTGCTCCAAGTCAAGGGTGCTTTGGAGGGTGAGCATTTGCAGTGGGGTTACAGGGTCCCCTCCCCCAATGCAGTCCACCAGGAAGTTCAGACTGTGACCTAACTTGGAAACAGGGTCTTCGGAGGTCAGGCTAAGAACGGAAGTGAGGAGAGATCGGAAGCTGATGAAAAGGGCCCAGGCCACAGACAGTGTGTTTGCTTTGCTTCATGATTTCTCGGTGCTGGGGTTGGAGTCTAGGCCTTAGGTTCACAGAGCTAAGGGAGCCTCCTGCAAGTCAGAAAAGGACAAACGGGAGGACCTCACCGGAAGGTCCCATGAACCTTTTGGCCATGTCCCAAGACTGGTCTGAGGTAATTGTGGTTGGGACTTGAGCAATATAGGTCCAACACCACCACCCACAGACCTGGAAACTTGGATTGTTTTTTTCCCTTCAAAATTTTGCTTTCTTGTCAGGCATGGTGACACACTCCTTTGATCTCAGCACTTGGGAGGCAGAGGCAGGAGGATTTCCTGTGAATTCAAGGTCAGCCTGGTAAATAGCTAGATTCAAGACAGCCAGGACTCTGTCACAAAAACGAACAAATAAACAACAACAAAACAACCCAAGAAAATTAAATTTTGTTTTCTTTCCTTTTTTTTTTTTTTAAGATTTGTCCTGGTGCTAAAGAGAGATATCAGCGGTTCAGAGCACTGATTGCTCTTGAGGAGGCAGGTATGAGTTTCAGCACCCACATGGAGGCTAACAACCATCTGTTACTCCAGTTCCAGAGGATCTGATGCTCTCTTCTGGCTTCTGTGGGTACCAGGCACACATGTAATACAGATATACATGCAAACAAAACATAAATGAATTTCAAAAAAGTAGGTGTGTGCACACGTGCGTGGTGTGTGTGTGTGTGTGTGTGTGTGTGTGTGTGTGTGTGTGTAGACCAGAAGAAGGGGTTAGGTCTCTGGAGAGTAAATGGATGTTTTTGAACCGCCTGCCCAGCATGGACACTGGGATCCAGTCCTCACAACAGAGCAAGCACTATTAACCACAGCCATCTCTCCACCTATATCCCCTTAGGTCTTTTCAAATCTTAAGTATTTACAAGCACCTTAGTCTATAGCCCAGGCTACAGCCCTGGGCTTGGCCCCTGGAGCAGCCCGACTTCATTTGTATCCAATCTATGTAGGCTGTAGGGGTGCACCTCAGTGATAAAGCCCAGCTTAGCATGCTCAAGGCCCATCCTCAGCACCAAATTAAATGAAAGATCACCCAGCAGGGTGCATGGCATTCACATGTAGTCCCAATTACTTGGGAGGCTGAGGCAGGAGGATTGACAATTCCAAGCAAGCCTGGGTACAGAGAGACTCTGTTTCAAAAAAACAAACCAAGCCAAGTGTGGTGGCAACTCCTTTAATTAATCTCAGCACTCAGGAGACAGAGAAGAGATCTATCCCTGGCAATTAAACAAGAAGATATATGCATACTCGGAATCCCAGCACCAGGAAGGCAGAGACATGATGGTTCCTGGGTTCCATGGCTTACCAGTCTGACCTACATAATGAGTTCTAGGCCAGTGAGAGACCTTTCTCAAAAAAACAAGGTGGACAGCACCAGGAACTTGTGACACCTAAGACTGTTGACTCTGGTCTCCATACATGTGCTCATGCATACACACACACACACACACACACACACACAAAGACAAGCAAAAGCTGTGATTATGTCAAACCTACCTTCCAATTTGCCAGCTTTTTAAACTCTATAATTTTTATAACTGCTCCCATGAGAATACCTGGAAAGGAAAAGCAAAGCTCAATAAAAACACAACCCAAGGATACTTGGCTGGACTGGGCAGTACTCGAGACTGGGTGGTACCCACTGGAGTAGGCTGTCCTAGAGTTCAGGTCTGCGTCTGAGAATTAAAGGAGGAATTACCATGAAGTGGTGTAAATCGCTGTGAATTACCCACTTATATCTCAAATGAACACACCATGGCAAAATCTAAGATACGTGGGGAGAAGAAAAACCTACTTGTCACTGCTCTGCCTGGTGTGGAGGGCACATGGCTGGTCACCCTTCCTGTACCACCCAGCTTCAATGAAGGACAGCAGAGGGTTATAGGCCAGGCGTGCCCTACACCACTTATTCCTACCATTAAAAATGGGGCTGGGGGTGGGGTGGCTCAGCTGGTGAAGACATTGACCACTAAACCTGATGACATGAGTTCTAACCCAGGACCCACATGCCACACAGAGAACTGACTCCCAAAAGTTGTCCTCTGACCTCCACTTAAGCACAACGGCAAGGGCACACACACAACTGTCGTGTGGGTTACAATGGAGGGCAGCCTGAGGTGAACAAAGGCCAGTTCGGAGACTGGCCTCAAACTGTAGCTAAGCAGAGCCTGAACTCCTGATCCTTTATTTTCTGCAATGTTATTCAATTTTGTGTCCTTTTATTTTTAAAAAACACACTGGCCATAGTGACATACACCTTTTATCCTAGCACTCAAAAGGCAGAGGCAGATGGATCTCTGAGTTTGAGGCCAGCCTGGTCTACATAGTGAGTTCCAGGACAGCCAGGGCTACATAGTGAGATCCTGTCTTGAAAAACAAACAGACGGGGCTGGAGAGATGGCTCAGTGGTTAAGAATACTAGCTGCTCTTCCAGAGGACTCAGGTTCAAATCCCAGCACCCACATGACAGCTCATAACTGTCTGTAACTCCAAGATCTGACACCTTCACACAGATATTACATGCAGGCAAAACATCAACGTATATAAAATAAAATAAAAAAATAAAAAAAAAATTGACTAAACAAACAAACAAGGAAAAAAACCCAGACAGAACCAAATTATCAAGTCCATATGTGCTGCCCATAAGTACTCTTGGATATGTGGCCTTCTACCAGGGGCCATACCCCTTCCCTCTCCCAGCAGCTGTGAGCTGTCTGGAAGGACAAGAGATCAGCTGAGTGAGTGGCCTGGAAATGGCAGCTCTATTTGCTGAGCTGCCGGAAGGCCAACCCCAGGTTTCCCTTCCATGAGCCATCACCCATGCTGGGGTGGGCTTTGGTGATGCAGCTGTCTTTGAGTCATTTCTGCTCCTGTGAGTAACGCCCCCAAACACAGAGCTATCCAGGAAGCTGTGAACAAGGAACGTATAATTGGAATTGTTTCTAGAGTGAAAAGGCAGCGCGGCTCTCATTCACAGTCAAGTGGAAGGGGAAGTGTTTGAAGTGGACGGAGCTCCTCTTAGCCTCAACACAGAAAGAAGGCCAATACACACGCGCTAAGCTGCTGCAGGCCACTCGTACGTAAGGGACAGGCTCGCTTCCTTTCAGCCTCCTGTGGAGCTGTTCTTGGCACAAGAGTCGGGCATTCTTCAAGTGGTCATCTCAGCACTGTCACACCACGCTCCAGCTGGAGAAAGGTGTTCTTTCCATTTCAAGTCATTTAAAAACTAATTCATGAAAGGAATATAGAGCAATGATTCACTAAGTACAGAATCTCTGTTTTGTTGTGCTGGAAAAAACCCACAAATGGACAGTAGTAGCAGGACATAATATCATGAATGTAATAAATCAATACAATTAATGTAATTAATATCATAAATATAATTATTGAACGAATACTGCAAATGTAATCAATGAATACCACAAATGTAATTAATACCATGAGTATAATTAATGAATATCATGAATGTAATTTAAAAAATTAATTAATTTAAAAAAAT